CCCTGAAGACTGAAGTAATGGCTGCTGAAAATTCAGCTTTGCCATTTTTTCTTACACTATATGTGTACTGACTGAATAAATGAAAACAAGAGATTTATTTCTAAAATATTAATAAATGTGTAGTTTGTCAACTTTTACTCGTCGCCCTTCTATGTAGCCTTCTTCAAGGGCAGGTAACCTTTAAATTAGCCTAGCAGAACAAAGTAGTCTTTTGTGCAATCATTTTCCAGATCAAAGCTTTCAGTGCACGTTCATTGCTCTTTTATTGCAGATTTGTGGGCTATCCTGGTCATTATGGCACACTGTTTGGGATGCGGAATGAGGATGTGAGTGCTTTGCCTTTAGTTTTATGATTACAGTTTAGTGGTCATTAGCCAACAATATTTTGTAAAAAGATTAGAAATTAAAGTCATGCATTCCTGACAGCTTTGTAATAAAGACAAAACATCCACAATAGGTTGCACTGTATTTGTAGTGCGGACCAGGAGGTTGTCTGATAGAACTGGCTGAGCAGCTCTGCATCATCATGGTGGGAAAACAACTTATCAACAACGTTCAGGAGTTTGTCATCCCGTAGGTGTCTCCCTCAGAGCCCGACTCTTCATCAAACTAGTCATATTTTTTGCAGCTGTACTTAAAAGCTTATTATATTGTAGAGCAAACCACGTAGTATTTGAACTAAAAGACTTAAGTCTCAATACTGCAGAATCAAAATGATTTTATTTGGTCCTCTGAGAAAAGCAAGCCGGGTGCTGGGTGGGCACAGCAGTCTTCTGTGGAGGTGTATGTGTGGGTCAGGCTTAGCCTACATTGTGGAAAACATATTGAATGATTAATGAACATCTTAAAATGCAAAAACATTCCTGTGAGGGTTAGATTTATGGGTAGGGGATAAAAATATCAATTTAGAAATAAAACAACTATCATAGACAGGCTGTGTGCTTTCATGCAGCAGTGCGAGAATAAAAATGTGTGTAAACATGAGCAAGAATAGCTTTATGAATACTGATTGATTTGATTATTGATTCATCTGCATATATCACTGTAGGGTGCAATGAGCAGACAGATGACTGTATCACTGCCAGTACTGCAGCATGTATCTTCTTTAAGGTGACAGTTTTTGCGGTTTAGCAGAATAAATGCCACACAGGAAAAGCTTTTAGCACTCCCTTATCAATAATGCATCACCGGATCTTTCCAAACGAGCACAGTTCTATTTTAGACCTAGAAATAGCCTCAGAAGAGCCATCATCATCATCATCATCATCATCAGCAACAGAACACTGTGTCTATTGCTTTGGTGGTCTCATTCTCTCTTTCTCTCTCACTGCTTTTCAGTAAAATAAAGTCTTGGAGACAGAAACGGGCCTTATCATCTGTGAAAAAGGCCCAGAAGGCAGAGGAGCCTAAGCGCTGGGAGCAGGACTATGAGTTGATTCCATGTGAGGGGCTTTTTGACGAGTATCTGGAGATTGGTAAGATGATAATATTTCACTTTTTAATTAGATTTTTGCACCAAGTTTCTGTCAAAAAAATGTGTAGCTACTGACGCTGAAACATCATGGACCTCATTTCTTGAGGGGGGCACCAGTGGCAGTCCTGGCTCACTTGGTGTTCTAGACAAGACAAGACATGACAAATAAAAAACATTTCTAACAGCCAATCATTATATAAGAGTAAGTACACTACCATTCAAAAGTTTCGGGTTAGTTATTTTTGAGCATAAGTGAACTTACCGACCCCCAACTTTCCAACAGTAGTATTTATAATAGTGAATTTCTGTCAGTCATTTCTGCCAGTGTAGCGAAACATATTTTTACCTACAGTAATCATGCAACTTATTATAAACATTATATGGATGTGATGTTTCTGTATAGATGCTCTTGCTATGCTTGTAATGAACTTACAGTATTTGATCTTCATTGTTGCCAGTCCTGCAGTTTGGCTTCATCACCATTTTTGTGGCAGCCTTCCCTCTGGCTCCTCTCTTCGCCCTGTTGAATAACTGGGTGGAAGTAAGGCTGGACGCTTGTAAGTTTGTGTGTGAATACCGGAGACCCGTGGCAGAGCGAGCCCAGCACATCGGTGTGTGGTTCATCATACTAGAGGCGCTGTCCCACGTGTCTGTCATAGTCAATGTGAGTGCCTACAAAAAAGTATCCAATTAGCAAAATCTATTGCCAAAATTTTGTTGGCAAAAAAGGTCATATTGAAAGGTCATATTCATATTGAAATGGCTTTGCCTGCAAAATGTCATAGAGTAATGGTTAATGTGACTGCACCTTAAGTGTGGTACTTTTTGGTAAATACATAAATGACTCCACTTGTTACATTACATTATCTAACATTACCTTTTCAACATCTTGTAAGGATTCACAGTTGCTTGTTTCTCTACAGGCTTTCCTCATTGCATTTACCTCAGATTTTTTGCCTCGCCTGTTGTACCAGTACAAGTTTAACAATGACCTGCATGGTTATGTCAACTTCACGCTGGCTTACTCTCCACCCAGTTACAACTACTCCAGTCATACCGTATGCAGGTAACAGTGCTGATGCTGTTCTGTAGTGCAAGAAATCTGAAATCAGACTATATATCAGTTATGCATTGTAAACTTGCAAAAATATATTGCCTTATTTCAGGATGTTTTTAAATCATTATTATTTTTTTGTTTTTTTACGTTAGCCATGTTCTGATGTTTCTCAGGAGTGTCTTGGCTGTTGTACTGTTTTGCAGTAGAGGGGAAAAGTGTTAATCAAGGCAGTGAACAGTAAAATTGTAGCTGTCAGCACTGTTCGATTTTCTTCTCTTGTGGTCATTTTTTGTCATGACTTTTCTTGTTGTCAGATATAAAGCGTTTCGGGATGAAAATGGAAAATACACACTGGTGTATTGGGAGCTTCTGGCTGCAAGACTGGGCTTTATCATTGCCTTTGAGGTGATCATTGATCTTCCTCCTGCAAATCACATCACTGTCATATTATATATAATAAAAAAAAGTAAACTTTTTTTAAAAATAGTAAATAAAAAATACATTAGTAAATGAACAAACAAATAAAATAAAATTGAATACATGGACAAGTGGAGAAAAGTGCTTTAAACCATACAAATAATATAAATATACTATATAAATCTATATAAATAATATCACCAAAATCTTTCTTGATATACAGGCCTATATAAAGAACTGATATAAATATATAACTTTTTTTTATTAATAATTAAATAAAGAGATTTAAAAAGTCTGTCTTTGTCAACTAAAAATGTGAGCGACCTCGAATTGCGATAGTAAAATGGGTTGCTGATGGCAATTTACTTTGTCTGTATAATGACCTGATTGTTTATGGTCTCTTTATTACTATCTAATAATTATTTCTATTTTGTGGTCATCTTAGTAATAAAGTGTGTGTACTCATCCTCAGCATGTGGTGTTCTTTGTCCTGCGTGTCATCGACTGGATGGTTCCAGACATCCCTGAGTCCTTGGAGCTGAAGATCAAGCGGGAGCGTTACCTGGCTAAGCAGGCACTGGCTGATAAACAGGAGGCCCTGCTGGTGAGTAGCTTTACTTGATGTTAGTGCACATAGTGACGTCCACACCCTCCAGTGCCCACTCACTGTGAGCCATGCTTGTTCTCATTACCACTCACACCAGAGAGCTCAGAGACAGGCTGTGTCCGAAAGCTTAAGCAGCTGCTGCTGACCTGATCCCTCACTGCCTTAGCAGGCAATGACTCTGCAGGCAGCGTTTGTGCACAAAGGTACCTCACTAATTTCAAACAGACTTCTGGAGGAAGCAATACGGTTTAATGATCTACAAAAAAATAGAGAGAACTTTGGTGATTTGGTGAACTAAGCTACAGTTTTACTGTATTTTTGATCAAATAAATGCAGCCTTGATGAGCATAAGAGACTTCTTTCAAAAACATTAAAATATTTTAACGACCCCATACTTTTGAACAGTAGTGTGTAGTGGTATTTAGGGCAAAGTTCACTTCATTTAAATAAATAAATGTCATGATCAGTTTCATGCTATTTTCCTTTAATTTGCAATTTCTTTTTATTTCTATTCCTGTCTATTGTCACAAAAATATAATAAAAAAAAAAGAAATGTGTGTCATAGTTTTAGCACTCTAGTCAAAGTGGAGCAAAGACCTTCGTATTACCGTATTTTTGTACTGCCCTGGTTTATGTAGTCCACATATTCTGTAGAGTAGAGGGGGGGGGGAAAGATCAAAACATTTTTCAACCCACTTTTCTGGAAAATATGTTCGGATGATGCTCTGCTTCTGGTTGAGGTCAGAGTGTATATTTGGCTATGTGCACTGGATTCTGAGCAATGACGTAACCAAATGTTCAAGATTATGGGGAACCAAATGTAAAAGTTTAAGAGTCTGCCATTGAAAAACTCATATTGATCAGCCACCATTCTGAATATTGCCAGGATTTCAGTGTTTGTGGTGGTTATGGCCCTGTTCTAGGGCCATATTGTTTTTAATTAAACTGTCTTTTAAAATGTATTTTACTTACTTTATAATCATTTAGAAACTTTGTGTCTTTGGTAGTGTGGTGTGTACGTCTTTGTGGTCTGACCAGGCCCTTGTGTTTGTTGTCTTTTACCCAAAATAAAATTTATTAAGACTTGTAGTTTATAGTTGTCTCTGGATATTAAACTAAAATAGGAGAAAGTTTTTCAATATGTATATAAAAGACAGACTTTACCTTTTAAACAGATTGTACAGATCTAAATACATTTAAAAAAAATATATATAAAAAATATAATTAAACATGCTTGTCATCATTTACTCAAATTGTTCTAAACCTATATGAGTTTCTTTGTTCTGTTGAGGACAAAAGAAGATATTCTGAAGAATGCTGGTAACCAAACAGTTGCCAGTAGCCAATAACTTTCATAGAATGGAGAAAAAAAAATACCATGGAATTGAATGGCTGCCATCAACCGTTTGGTTACCAACATTCTTCAAAATATTTTCTCCTGTGTTCAGCAGAAGAAATAAACATACAGGTTTGGAACAACTTAAGGGTAAATTATGTCAAAATTTTCATTTTTGGGTGAACTATCCCTTTAATCAAATGTTGTGACTAATTGAGGATGCCTCTAAACAATGTACTTCTTTCTTTTTTCTTCTTATTTCTCTGCTTTTCTCCTTGTATGCTGGTCCTTGAAGCAAGCGAAGCGCCTTGCTACATGAGACTGACCTGCAGGGCAAGGGCTTCTCCAGAAGGGGGCATAGTCACTAAGAAAATGCTTTACACCCTCAAAAGTGATCCAAGAGGGACTTGTTTTGAGAAAAAAAAGCACTTGGACTGAAACAAAGCACTTGGACTGAAACTTGGCTTGGTTTTGTGGTGGTTGATTGAGTGGATGTGTGTGTGTTTGTGAGCATGCATTTCAAAATGTAGAGGTCTATGCCAAAATTGTACACTACCACATTACTTTAACAAACGGCTGTTTACATATGACTTCCTCTGGCTCCAGCTATACTAAGACATGTGATCACCTACACATCTCACTCTCTCTGCCCTTCCGGTAAATGATATATTCCTATTCGGATTTAGTGGGACGGCAGGGAGGTTTGCTTTTCTACATGAATACTAAAGTATATATTTGTACTACTGACAAAATGAAAATTGTGAAAGACATCAAGAAGCGTATTCTACATTGTGTTAGTGTGAAATGCTTCTCTGAATAATACCTTAATATATTTGCATTTGTCATGTCTATCTCTGGGCTGTTTAAGGAATTATGTTTTAAAATAAAGCTAGTTTCAATAACCGTTGAAAAGCCATTGAAGTGTTTACATGCTGGAGGACAGGGTTTAAAAGGATAGTTCAGCCAAAAGTGGAAAAACTCATGTCATTGCAAATAAATATGACTTTCTTTGTTCTGTGAAACACAAGAGACGCGTTGATTAATGTTCACACTGCTCTCTTCCATATAATGAAAGTGGATTATGATCGGGGCTGTCAAGCTTCAAATACGCACTGTAAAACAGGATCATAAGTGGTCCATGAGACCTGTGCATTAAATTCCAAATCTTATGAATAGGGATGCATTATTTGGGCAAAATGTGTTTAAAAAAAATTCAAGGTTTGCTGTGCTTGTTTGTAGGGCTGCACAATTTGGCAAAAAATAGTAATTATCAATATGATCAAGACTTTAAAAAACAGCCTTATGAGCATTTATTTTTTACAAATTTGGAAAGATGGTTGGCACATGTTGCGTTTCTAAATGCACGCCATAAGCAAGCCAAACAGTGTTGCAAAAAACAGTTTGTGTAGATCTGCATTTTCTGCGAACCAAGCTGCTCATTGCTGTGCTTCACGCTGAAACGCACACATTTAATTAAATCACAGCCTTTGATTTTTCTTTTAATTAATTGTGCAGCCCTACTTAAAGGGTTACTCCACCCCAAAATGAAAATTTTGTCATTAATCACTTACCCCCATGTCGTTCCAAACCCGTAAAAGCTTTGTTCGTCTTCGGAACACAATTTAAGATATTTTGGATGAAAACCGGGAGGCTTGTGACTGTCCCCTTGACAGTAAATAACACTGTCAAGGCCCAGAAAAGTATGAAAGACATCGTCAAAATATTCCATCTGCCATCAGTGGTTCAATCTGAATTTGGCTGAACAATGCCTAATTGTGCAAAAATGGTTAGCTTGAACGAGAATGAAAATGATATGCTTGAACAAGTTAGAAAGGTGAATAAGACATCAGTAATGCTAAGCCATTGAAGTTCTGTGTTCCAAAGCTGAGAGCCAATGCCAGCTGGCAAACGCTTCAGATCCTTAATCTTTGGTTAACACTCCATGTAGGCAACTTCTGCCCTACTTTTCAGCTCTACTTTCTGCAGAAGATCTCTGGTTCTCACATTCCATTTAATTTGATCAAACCATCAAGCTTTGTGTGAGCAACTTGCCCCTTTGAAACCCTTTACCAACCAAACATGCACCCTAATTCCACTATTTTTTTTAGTGGAATGGATCAAGCAACTCTGATTTATTAAAGTCAGAAGCAGACAGGTGTTTTGATAATGATTTGTCTCTAACCCCACCCACTTAAAAAACGAAAAAGAATCTCCATCACCTCAGGCTCTTTGACTCTCTCTCTCTCTCTCTCTCTCTCTCTCTCTCTCTCTCCTCCTCTTCTTCATTTTTTGATTGTTATGATTGCTGTGCGTTCCTACGCCATTCAACCTGCAGGAAGGGTTGATTGGTACATGTCAAGGTACTAAAGTATGCAACGTGGACAGCAGCCCTTATTAATAACGGACTCCATGTTCTTCATCACCTGCAGGAGTGACCCAGAACAGCCTGTTGCACAAAACTGACACTCTTTAATGTGCTTTCGCTCCTGAATAAACTAATTTCTTAGTGCAAACGCATCAATAATTACTACAGTTCAATAATTGGCTGGAGATTAACATGAATAGGTTTTATTTACCAAAGAGTTCAATTATATATTTTTCTGATCTTCTAGACTTTCACACAAGCTTGCTTGATAAACAACTCTTTCAGTTCTTCTTAAGCGAATAAATGAGGCGTGTAAAAGGGAGAGGAGTTAAAGAAGATTTAAAGAGCATATCTGAGTGAGTTTCGGCATGCCCTCTCAGCTACTTGCTGTCTTCAAACTGATACTTACCTAATTATACACACATGCACACACTCGCATGCATGAAGGGATATTCGCATAGTCTTCTTCCCACCCTCTAGCTCACGCCCCCATCAAACCCTCCTAGCCAACTGCCTGCTATCCACTTGCAAAGTACTGCTGTTGACACACAGGAATCCAAACCCACACCCACACACACACTCATTTCTCCCTCCTTGGCAGGAAGGACTCTCCTATGAACCAGACGACAGCGTGTGCCTCTCTCCTTTTCTTCTGCTGGCAGGTGTTTGAAATAAAACCATAAATAAGTGCAAGAGGGAGCCAGAGACAGCGCGAAAGAGAACGACAAATGTCTGTCTTCATTTTTTGCTGGAAAGAGCGGGAAATATGAGGGAAAAGGAATGATATGGAGGAGAAATCTGTATTTTTGAGTAGCTAGAACAGTTATTAGGGTTTTATTTGTCTACTGTCAACTATTTTTGTGTGTGAAGGGGATTGAAGAGAACACTTGGATCATCTTCGCTCAAGAGGCAACGTCGTGAGTTTGAGTGCAGCTGAGCGGAAACAAAGCAACCGAGAGGAACACAAGGCAGTCATGGACACTATAACACCTCAGCCACAATCCTGGATGACTTGGATTCGCACACTGGAGTTGGACCCTATCCAGCCCACACTCCACCGATACAAATGAGGTAGTTTTTTTTTTTGTACAGTAAATCTAAATCTGTGGAGATCTGTTGCTGCATTTTAGAGGATGTCACCACATTGTTCTGTGGAAAGACTATATTTTGTGTTAAACTAGCTTTAGTGGACCAACAGTCTGAGACCACACTGGAAATCTGGGATTCAGAATCTAATTTAATCTAGGAAATAAATGAAAAGCCTTCGGATTTTGAAAACAGAAACAATGCAATGAAGAAAACATATTTCAGATGCACAATTTCTAGGTCACTAATCAAGTAAATGAAGCATTGATCATGTGAACTACTTTGTACAGACAGTCAGATGTTCTTGCTTCCACTGAAGCTCAAGATTCTGTTTGATCATCTTAAATCATGATTGAGAACATGAACATCAGGTTTAACACAAAACTGTGGACTTCATGCAGCTTGTGTGCTGCTGGCATACTAAGAAAGTATGACATTCATATCAGTTTTTCAATTCAAATTCACTCACATTGTTGTTCATAGGCAAATATTCATAATAAATGAAATACAATTAAATTAAATGTATTATATTTGTATTTTATACATATGTTTGTATTATTACTATATAACAAAAGTAAACTTTAAATTTATTTTATTATTATTTTTTTATTAAAACATTGTCACTAGTGGTCTCAGATTTTCTATTCTTCCTGATTGTTAACTTCAGCTGAATCTTTATTTCGTCTATTGGTACTTCTTGACATTGTAATATTGCTGCCAACAGAATTATTCCTGTTTACTGGGTGACACGGTGAATGTTTAAGGTCACTAAACTTCTATTATATCATTTATATCTGTCCTGCTGGGTTGTAATGCCAAACAATTTTTTCTTGCTTGAACAGATGCTCATGCATGGAGTATAATGTTTTGATTTGCCACTCACCACCTGCATAGACAAATCTCATGATACGCCTGGGATATGGTCCAGTTTATAAAATCCTGGTATAGCAAGCAGAAACACTGTCCTCCAGCCCTGCTAACTTATATCAAATCAGATGCAAATATGCCTGTGCTACCGATCGCTTGCAAGCTACTTAATGTTGCATGCATAATAGTGTGATAGATTGCGTTGGATATGAGCCCTGAATATTCTACTGCTGCAGGGAGCAGATATGGTAAGTGTGTGCATACGTGAGCTTCTGTTGATGTGAGGGGCAGGTGACTGCATGTCTGGAACACGCTGTAAAAGAACTGCACATGGATAGAAGGCAGCACGACCATGAACTCATTGTCAGAGTTCTTTACTGTGTGTAACAATATAGAAATGTCAGTTTTTTTGCTGGGCTTTGTGCTGGTCAGTTATCCTCATGCATATCTCCTTTTTTGGCAGTTGTTTTTTTGCTGATATAAACCGATTTTTTCACACACACACACACACACACACACACACACATATATATATATATATATATAAACAGTTGTGATTATAAAATGCTCAAATATACACAATGAATTGTTTGTTTGACATAGGAATGAAGACGTGCATTGATGTTGCTCTTTTAGAACTCATAAAACCTAAGTAAGTTCCCGGATATGTGTCATTTACATTTTAACTTTGTCCCAGATCGATTTATTTGGAGAATAAAAAAATGACACAAATGAGATCATTGTTGATATGCAGTAAAAGAGTAAAACTATAAAATAATTGTGGATAGCAAAGTCCAGATAATTTGCTCTTAGGAGAGATTGATAAGAAATGTTTGCTTTCATATTGATAGGGTTTAATATTACTTTTAGTATATATATATATTTTTTTTAATTCCTGAAAGAAAATAATATACTATTTATTTATTTATGGAATTAAAAATATCTAGTGTTATTTTATTATTATTTATATGCTAAGCTAGGTTTAGTAATTTAGTAATTAAATGTATTTTAATTATATATATATATATATATATATATATATATATTAGTTAACAGTGATGGGAAGTTATGAAAATAACATGGCAGTTCATCCAGTAAAATCAATAGTACATCTACATGTTTTTAAACAGGAGATCTGTCTACTTGCTTGATTATTTACTCAGCTGTCATAAATCTGGACAATATGATCTTCCATCGAAGTCATGATTAATAGAGTGTTGTAGCGTCGTCATTTTGTGTGTCTATTAATGTGTATGTGACTTACTTGTCTGTTTTCTTATAAGGTCATATAGACTGATTGTTCCATACCATGTGTGGAGCATGTGTTTGGAGAGTGTTTTCTTTTCTTTCTGAGCGGGAGGGTGTGACATCCTCTTTATGACCTAGCACCTGTCTGATGGAAGGCTTTATGTTCTCCTCTACACTGCTGTGCGGTAATAGCAATTATCCCAGCTGCCCAGAGAAAATTATTAAAAAGCAGAAACCTCGCAGCTTAAACTGGCTTTATAACATCCAAGTTTAGGTAATTTTCCTGGAAACTGTGATCCATTTAACGTGAGTCATGAGTGAATGCCCACATGAGGATGTGGGGTAAACAAAAAAGTATCATGTCACAATAAAATCTCCCTGCCTTATTCATTCTCATCCTGTATAGCCTCAGAAATCATTGTCTGCATTTGCTGCATAACACCATTGGACGTGTAAGAGATATCCTTTTAGTATTAGAGTCATTATATCCCTCAAAAAATGGGTTCTTTTTGAATGTAGTGAGATCAGGTGATTTTTATACATGCAGACTACATGGACCTGGTGACCTTTTTGAATTCTCTTGTGAAACTATTCCTTCATCTCCATTGACATCTATGACTAAAGACCCATGAACACATTGAATTTGTAGGATGTGTGTTTGAGCATGGATGGATCCCACAGGGTGTGGTTTGATGACGCTGTGCTTTAGTTAAAATGTTGGCAGATATGAACATCAGAGAGATAGTGCAGGCGGCCAGACCCTTGGAATGTCTATCGTAACCTGTGGCTTGCCGCTCCTCCTGGCCGTGCCAGTCTATGTGTGTGTTTGTATGACTCATTGCATTCTCATAGTTCTCAGCAGGTCTGGATTGCTCATACTGTATATGCTGGTAGAGATAAGAACAGACTGGAGGGAGCAATAGATGGCACGGCATGTTTGGTAACAATACAACTGATCTAGCATGTGTACAAGGAAAATACACTGTTTTTTACTCTTTAAGGCCAATGTTAAGACGTCATTTTTTGTGTCAGATCAATTAATCGATTAAAAAAATTCATTAAAATTGCAATGAGTACACATCTTCTATGATGAGCATGTTTGTAATTTCTGAATTAAAATTCATCTAGATATTTTTAGGACATAAAGTAAATTAATATCAGGGTGATATAAGTGTCTGGGTTTCATATTGAAGAAAAAAAGGCAAATGGAAAATAAAAGGAAATCTTATTAGGTAGATTACACATTAAAATGATTATAAATTAACTTTTCCACGACATTCTAATTTATTGAGATGCACCTGTACAGTATATGTCTTTTTTTTAAATATATATAAAATATATAAATAAATATATATTTAATATATAAAATATATATATTTAAAAGAATGATTAAGATATACTCATTTGTGTTCAAGGTGTAACCAAAATATGCTTTTTACTTTGTCATAAATGTACTTTTTTATGGTTACACCACATGACATTTTTAGACATTTTTACTTTATCGATCTTTTACGCCATTGACCCACATGCCATGATATATAAATATGGTAATAAATCAGTTCCATGGTTTCCATGGTATTCAGTCACCATGGTGCAACCACGGTACTTTTTGTCACTGTCATGTCAGAAATAGTTATTTGTATCGTTTGACTTTAGTGTAATGCATGCAATTTCTGAGACCGATTTTTAGTTCATTTTATCCCATACAGCAAATTCTAACTCCTCCCCGTCCCTCCCATGGTCTGTCCTGTGTAAGGAGCACCTGCCCCATCACCTGTCAGTTGGAGGCAACAGGCTGATTCTGTATCTGCACCTACATGTACCAGAGATGCAGTCTGGGGAAAAGGACGCCATGCCACACCCAGTAATACTCCGTTCTAGCTCTTCGTGTGCAAAAACGTTCTCTCCTCACTTACCTTCATTTAGCTTGCCGCATTCAGGTCAACAGGGCCACTCAGGGTGGAATGGGTATCTAAAGCCCCTTCACTCAACTCTGTTAGTCTGCCTGGCCTTAAAGGGCTTGTAAGGGCTAAAAAAACAGCAGAGCTCACCTGCGGAATGAACAGATGGTGACGGAAGAGGTTTGGGGAGCAATAAGAACAGACCTTGTTTGTGTGACTGCACGCTATTAGTGCCTTCCACAATAGTCAGCACAGATAGGATGCAGACACACAAATGAGGCCTGTTCTTGTTGCGTGAGCTCAGACAGACAAGACTCTTGTTTGTACTCGGGTACAGCTTACTGGGCAATTTAAGTGGAATGACAGAAGCGCAGTTATTTGGGGAATGTGGAAAGTGTCAGAGATCTTTGTTGGGATTGGGGGTCGACCATGATAATGAACTTGCTTTTCTTTGGCTAACAAAAGGCTTAATGGTTAACCATTTATATTGTGTCCTCATTTTGCTTTTACAAATGGCCATTGAATTTCAAGACTATACTATAAAAGAAACAGGTTATGATTGTTGGAAGGCTCTATCACTTTTTATTTGTCATTTGAAGGAACTTTTTATGGTTTAAAAACATAGGAACATTTGCCTATAAAAAGCTAAGTTAGCTCTTAATGACAGGAGGTGTGGATATCTTGACATATTTTTGTGTACGCTTGCACAAATGTGTGTCAGAGCAGGAGTGGATGAGTTTTGGTTTTTGCGTGGTGCACATATTTGTGTTTGTCTATGAAAAGCGATCCTGAAAAAGCCAAGCCCTACAGGTATGTGTAAAAGTCTTTTTTTTTCTGGCTCTGCTCTGCACACACCTGTTTAGCTACACAGCCTTCAGGCTTTTCAGGCGCTCGGCTGGCTTGGCCCTAATGTGAATAAAACAATTTGTGTGAGTGTTATTACATGGATTGACCTGAATACAGTCTCTC